TTATCAGAGTATACTGGGTTACACTGTTTCCAGTTTAGGAGATCAGTAGTCCTGAAGGGCTGGTAATAGAGGATGGAGCGACCAGGCTGGACTGAGCTGTCCTTGTTCACTTGTTGAGGACCTTGAGTTTCTTGCAGTGGCATCTGATGGGCTGTGGCCAGCTGGTTAGATTGTTTGCCTGAGCAGAGCCACTTCCCTACTGGCTCAGGGCTGGAGTCTTGCTCATGAGGTGGTGCAGGGGACACGGGGGGGCGAGGGGAGGCTGGGTGGCTGGACTGTCTGGCAATGAGTCTGGTGCTGGCTGTGCCAGGACTTGTGGAGTCAGGGTAACATATGGCAGGGGCAGTAGTGGGTCTTCCACTGGATCTCCCTGGAATATAGGTTTTTTTCCTTCTTCTTTCTTTTTTCTGAGTGATTGTGCCACAAATACCCTACTCTGTCCCTGTCCGTGCAAAGTCTTGCCCATAGGGGAAGGGTCTGTGCTGTTATAAGCCAACAGTCTATGTATGGAAACTGATCTGGATGTCCTGGAGTCCCAGCGACTACCTGGCGCACTGCTTGGACAGCGGGCAGGTGGAGCGCGCCCTCTGGCGGCCACCCAATGTTAATGGCCGACCAGTGGAGCTCACGTAAGTTAGGAAGCTTCCTGGGAGTCATCCTGACTCCGTAATCTCCTACAAAGCCCTTCTTAAAGTTCTTTATCATGCGATCTAAAACTGTTGGCTTAAGGAACTCCCTCCCCCGCAATGTTGACAAATGTAATCTACCTGGCAGGGTTTTGAGGAAAACCTAATCTCTTAGATGTCAGCTCAAGCAGTCAGTCCACAGAAGAATAACGGGTAACCAATAATTTCTCCCTCCCTGTGTATCCCGCCCTGAGTCGGTGACACACAGACAGACAAGGGTGGGGGCCCCCTCAAAGCAGGAGACCACTCAGGTGCCCACTCGGCCGCGCTCCCCGGGTGAACTAAGGTGCCCCTTAGCATTGGCGGACCAGTGTAAACCCCTGATCCGGATCTGTCTCCCAGGGAGGGACTGGGTCCCCCAGAGGCAGACACCACCTTGAGCTGTATGAAGTCACCAGGGAACTGCAAGCTAAGGCCCACTCGGACTCCGTAGCCATGAAGGCTGTGAAGCCACACAATCGAGCCTGAAGCACAAGCGAATCAAGCCGCACACTCACTCACGTTCATTTTTTCTTTCACCTGGCCGCTCTCCAGAGAGAGATCTAAGACACCTCTTAGCTTTGGCAGTTTGGTATAAACCCCCGACCCGTACCAGCCTCACTGGGAGGGATCGAGTCCCCCAGAGACTGGCACCATCTTTCAGTCTTATGAGGTCATCACAGAACCGCATGTTTTGGACCCTCTCAGGCTCCCTAGTCTGAGGACTGTGGACCTCATTGTTACTTTTTTCAACCAGCAATCATGTATACACAATCACTCGGAGGTTATCACAATACCTCCCTTTTCCGGAGTCCCCAGGTCTCCCTATCTGATTCTCCCTTCCTAGGAGCTCCAAGGAGGTGATCAGTTTCCTCTTCTACCCAGTATGGTAGGATTTCCTGCTTGGGGATGGGCCCTGGGGTCTTACCTTTTCCTGTGGCCAATCCTGGTGAGCTGGTCAGGTCCTCCAGTGAGTCTGGTCGGGGCTCAGCCCTCCGGAGAGTCAGAACGCCGGTCCAAAAGAGAACCCTGAATACTGTCAGGTGGTATGCCTCCTCGTTCATCTTGGGGCTCCTCTGCTGAGCCACCAGTCCTGCGGCTCAAGGGGCCAGCATGGTTGGAATCTCACTGGGGCCTCCAGAAATGTTTCAGAAACCAGTGTTCAAGAAACCAAGCACCACACTCAGAGAGCTGGAAAATTCAGGTTTATTATGCCAGCGGGTCCAGAGGAGTTAACAATCCAAGCTCTGAGCCCCAAACACTGGGGTTAGAGTTTTTATACATGGACAGGCATGATTAAGCGGGTTTGCGGGTTAGCAAGGGCTAGGGCGATTGCAAAGAGCAGGACAAAGGTGAGTGAGATAAGCTCCAGTTCCCAGTATTATGAGTCCCCACTTTCTGAGACCTACGTGATCTAGACGTTGCAAGGAGCAAGCTGAGTTAGAGAGGCAGAAGGAGAAGGAGGTAAAATTTTAACTTTTCCTCTTCACTGAAAGAGACCTCAGTCAAAGGATTTTTTGTTGTTGTTGTTTTATTGACTCTTTGTGACCCCATGGACTGTAGCACACCAGGCTCCTTCATCCATGGATTTCCCAGGCAAGAATACTGGAGTGGGTTGCCATTTCCATCTCCAGGGGATCTTCCTGACCAGAGAGAGATCGAACCCGTGTCTCTTGCAAGTCTCCTGCATTTCAAGCAGATTCTTTACTACTGAGCCACCTGGGAAGTCAAGTTAATGGATACACAATAGCAAATCAAACAAAAATCTTTTTACTATTGATTTGCATCTTACATTGTTAGTGTTTCAAATAGGTTTTCTACAATCCTAAAGATTTTTTGTTTGATTTGCTATAGTGTATCCATTGACTTGGCTTCCCTGGTGGCTCAATAATGAGGAGAAAGAGGTAAGTTCTTCAGAGTCAAAGTTTTTGTCTTCATTCAAGGAGGCATTGAATGCTGGCGACTAAAAAATATTTTCACAACCTGAAAGTAGAGTGTTATTTTAATTGGTGTAAAGGTTTAGGACTCCAAAACTGGGAGATAACACCTCAGTAACTCTGAGAAAACTGCTCAAATGAGGCAGGAGGGAAAGTCAAGCTGTATACAAGTTTGCAACAATGGGAGCAGGCAGTCTGAATATCAAAGATCAGGTATCAAATTAAGGAATTTAGCATCCTCTGTATTGGAAAAGGCAAACCTCTGGGCTCACTGAATTCATTCCTTTCAAAGGCACCTCAGCTGTCTGGGGTCAATCCTGTTTCCTTGTTCACCTTGTTTTTTGCATTTCTCCCAGCTCCTCAGCAATCACCATGGGTGGAGCAATTACCCACATTGGCAGTATCCACTGGATTGCAGTTTGGGGAGCCCTCATTCACACTTGGAGGCCAGAAATCACTGATGCCTGTGACATTTGTTGCTTACTGATATTCAGGAGATATTTTCATTTCACTGCTCAAATAGCTAATAAAAAATATTCTGACTATATTTGTATCCCAAATTTGTGGAGATTTTGTCTGTTACATTAGCTCTTTAACTAGCCAAGCCACTTTGCTTTTGAAACTTGGGTTGGCATCTGCAGAGTAGGATGTAATATCTCACAAGGTCCTTTCCAGCCAGTAATCATAACAATAGCATTTATGGAATCACAACCATTAGTGTTACCTGGTCTCTCTACAACAGCATTTTATCCAAAGAGGATCTGAGACTTTGAGTAATTGTTTCAGTGGAAAAAAAAAGAGATGAAATAAATTTTTTGTTTCCTCTCCTGAGAATAATGAAGATAAAGAGAACAGTGAGCAGGCCTGAATATTCTTTCTTTTCTTACTTTAACTGATCCTAACTCTTCATGCCTGTAAGTAAGTTTGCTTTTCTGCCCCCTAACACTGCAGGAGCTACATTTTGCACCTATTATCCTTTGACTGTATGCTAAATACAAACTGTATCTGGTGCTCATCTTTATAGCACGCTCTTCCCCTTGTAGTTCTTCTTTTTTACATATCAGAAAGAAGGCCACAGAGCCACAAATTGTCAGACTCGATTACTGGGTTACTGACACCAGCCTATGACTGATTTTGAAACAAAGCAAGAGGAAGAAAACAAGCTCCTCTTTAAAGGCTGAGCATTAAAGCCATTTTTCTTTTTCTTTCAAACTCCGTCTCTATATTTTTTATGCGGCTTCAGTGGGCAAAGAAAGCCGAGTGTTTGGCCAGCAAAGTAATCAGTTCATATTCAACGTGTTGGTACCAGCAAGTAGCTCTGAACTGGAACAGGGACCTGTATGTCCTCCCATGAATCCCACAGCCCAGGTAAGCTCTTGTCAGCTTCAGATTCTGAATAGGAACAAAATATGGTAGTTATAGTTCCCATTTCAGGAGTTCAGAATCAGGAGATAGTTCCTTATTGGAAAGATCAAATCAGCGAATCCTAAGGGAAATCAGTCCTAAATATTCGTTGGAAGGACGGATGCTGAAGCTCCAATACTTTGGCCACCTGATGAAAACTGACTCATTGGAAAAGACCCTGGTGCTGGGAAAGTTTGAAAGCAGGAGGAGAAAGGGGCGACAGAGGATGAAATGGTTGGCTAGCATCACCGACTGTATGGACATGAGTTTAAGCAAGCTCTAGGAGTTGGTGATAGACAGGGAAGCCTGGCTGTGCTGTCCATAGGGGTCGCAAAGAGTCGGATACGACTCAGCGGCTGAACTGAACTGAGAACGTGCCCATCCATATAACTGTTGGCGGCACTAGAAAAAATTAGCTCGGCGGTTTGGTTTCCAAACCAAGACCAAAAGTGCAGTCACTAACAATAACCCACCTGACACTCTCACTTGCCCATCCAGCTCAGGAAAAAGAAAATACGATTGGAGGCCTTAGGAGATGACGCATTTCCGGCGCGCTGCGAAATCCGGAAGACAAGGAAGCCCCGGAAGCGTGGAGGCGGGGCCTGAGGTGGGCGGGCGCCGCTGAGGCTTCGGGCGCTGGCGCCGAGCTTCTGCGGGAAGCTGAGATCTGCGGCGAGGCCTCCTTCCCCGCGGCGGCCTGTGGGGAAGCGGGGGTGGGGCGGGGAGGACGTTCGGCCTTCTGACTACCCAGGCCCGCCGAGGAAGAGGTGGGCAGCTACCTGAGTTGTGTTCGGTTCGGCGGCTGTGGTTGCGGCCGCTGCAGTCTCGCTATTGCTGCCTCAGCATCCCTCACAGCCAGCGGAGGCCGCTGGCCTGCCGCTTGACCTGCGGCCGTTTTGGGCCGCAGAGCCCATGAGAGCGCGGGCCCCGCCGCCGCATTTGCAGCGGAGTTGTAATCCCGGGGCGCCCGGAGCCGACGAAGGCATGACCGCAGCATGAACGCGGAACCTCCGGAGGAGAAAGCAGCGGCGGAGGCGGAGGCAGGAGCCATGCCAGAGAAGCGTGCGGGCTCGCGGGCTCCCGGCGGCAACTCGGTGAGCGTGGGCTTGGAGGCTGGACGCGTTGCTCATCCCGAAACCCGGAGTCAGGGGAGGTAGGGCCGTGTCGCGGCCGGAGTGCAGGGCCGCCCAGTGCGGGACTGGGGTCTGGTTCCCCTGGGGATGAGACAGTGACCGTCGTCTCGGCGCAGGGGCTCTGGCTCTCGGAAAGCTTTTCCTTTTCCGACTCAGCCAGCCGACTTCATCACTGCTAGGCTTTCCTGACGTTGCTCACCGCTAGATTAAAATTTAGGCAACTGATTGTTTCAGAAGACGCCCGATGTGGGATTGTGAATATAAGTAATTTGATTTTTTCAGAGTTCTCCGTACACGTGACAGCCGGTACTGCTTTCATGGTGCATTTCTGGCTTGAGCCAACTTAGAAGATGTGCGGAGAGCATTCAGAACCTGCCTTGGGCCCTGGATCCTGGACCCGGAAGGTCGCGTGGAAGCTGGGCAGCTCCTTTGTGTTCCTTCTTGGTTTTCTAGGCTGTCGCTGCGGCGTTTGGTGAGCAGGATTTCAGAGGGAGCTGCCGATCCCAGGGCCCGGCTGAGGAGTTTATTCAGGCCAATCCCTTTAACAGTTTCACGTGAGATTCAGATGACTTCTGAAGCACTGGTTTTATTGGCCTGGGTTGGCAGAACAGGCTATGTCCGTGGCGTTTAGATGACTGACGGTGGAACTCTGAGCATACAGTGTTATTTCTTAAAATATTTTTTTGGAGTCTATTTTAGACAGGAAAGATAGAAATGGTACAGTGAATACAAACTAATGCCAACGAGACTTTTTTCCAAAGAAAAATAGAAACTTTAGGAAAATTACATTATATGCAATCGACTTCGGGTTTAATTTGCTTTTAAAGAATGCTAAATGATGTTGAAGACCCCTTCCTACCCAAATGACTTTTTATTTTTGGAAAAACCAAAACCCTTAAGGGTTCCTCATTTCAAAGATAAGATTTCTGAAGAGTGGGAAGGTTTTTTGGTAGGAGGAGGGAAATTCTATGGAATTGGGTTTTCTCGTTTTCTTTTTGATTACGTAAAAAGTAAGCTTGCCTTCCTGCCGCTTAAAGGAGACCAAATTGCCGGCTCCTCCTCCTGTCTTTGAATCAATAGACATAATTACTGACCATTGGCCAAGGTACTAACCTTGGAGGTAGCCTCCTTCATCCTTTTCCATCTTTTCATCTAATACATTAATAAGTCTATCTAAGTTTCCCAAGTAAAGATTTTAGGTTTGTTTGTTTGTTTGTTTATCCTTTCTGCATTCCTGTGGTTCAGTTCCTCAGCATTTTTGAGCTAGATTTTGACTTCGATACTGTTGCTTTACCATCAGATTGCTCTCCACCTTATTGATTAGTGGAATCAATAATGTAAATATGATCATTACTGCTGTCCTTAAATTGGCTTCTTGTATAAAAAAAATAACCTGACAAGTTGACACATTATAGCATAATGATTAGGTGAGTATGCTTGGAATTTCGCTTTCCATCTTTTATTACCTATATAACTTACAGCAAGTTATACAACCTTTCTCAATATTTTGGACATTAATGATTGGTCAGAATGTATAAGTGATCCCTGACTGATAAAAAACGTTCAGTTCTCTCCCATGTACTAATCTATACAGGAACTAGACCCCAATCTAAAAATTAAAATTGCTAAGTTTATGTGCTTAGAGCAGAAACTTTTGAGAGATGTGTATTCAATGAAACTGAGACAGTTGATTCCCTGATAGGAGTCTTGATGCTAATTAGGAATAAATTGATTCCTGTCCAGTCTCTCCTTGTCTCTGAGGGTGCATCTAGTCAGTGTTGATATATTGCAGTGAATGCTGACAATGAATTTTGGTGCTTGCTCTGTTTAGTGAGATCAGTAGAATGGGCAGGTAACAGTTCATCACGTTTTGTAATGTGTGTGGCCTGGGAAAGAAGTGTATGCCTTTAATATGCTTGTGTCATATGCCAGTACCCCAAAATCATGAGTCTTTCCTGCTTGTAGTTTCTTTCTAGTGTTGCTAACTGGTGCTACATTCTTTGCCTCCACCCCCCACCCCCAGTTGTTTAGCAACTAAATAACAATAAGAAATTGATTCATTTTGATGTGTTGGCACTTCCTTATACCTTGATTCTATAAAAGTGTATTTATCATTTCAGGTTCTTAGATGCTACTAATAATCACAAGCAAGACTGCCCATGTCCAGGGATTTGGTTGAACCGTTTTCTATCTTGTTTGGCAAAGAGATGTATTGACGTGGATAATAGAAGGGAATCGCATGTTCATTCTGAGAGATTCTAGAAAAGGGAGGTCTGTGTGTAGCGAACAAGTCCTTGTTTTAGGGTCCTTTCTTTGCTGTCTCTCCTCAGTTGGGTGTGTATCTAACACCTTGAAACATTGTGTCAGAATTATTTGCATTATCTTTAAAAGCATATTTCCTATTACCAGGTAAAGGCAAATTCCTTTTGCAGTCATTTACCTTTGAGCATCTAATGAGAATTAAAGATCTGCGGCAAAGAAAATACAACTGAATTTAGCATACTAGGTATTTCATAGTGTTCATGAGCTACATAGAAGCAACCTTATGTCCACTGACAGATGAATGGATATAGAAATTATACGTATGTATGATGGAATATTACTCAGCTATAAAAAAAGAACACATTTGAGTCAGTCCTCATGAGGTGAATGAACCAAAAGCCTATTGTGCAGAGTGAAGTAAGTCAGAAAGAGAAAGAAATATTGTATATTAACACATGTGTATGGAATCTAGAAGGATGGTACTGATGAACCTATTTGCAGAGCAGCAGTGGAGGTGCAGACATAGAGAACAGACTGGTGAACACCGTGGGGGAAGGAGAGGATGGGATGACTTGAGAGAGCAGCATGGAAACACGTGCATCCCCATTTGTAAGATAGATGGCCAGTGGGAATGTGCTGTGTGACACAGGGAGCTCAACCCGGGGCTCTGGGACAGCCTAGAGGGGTGGGAGATGGGAGGGAGGGAACACACGTATGCCTGTGGCTGGTTCATGGTGATGCACCAGCACAATATTAGAACGCAATTATCTTCTAATTAAACTTAAAAAAAAAAAGCCAGTACTAGGATACCACTTAAGATCCCTGATGGACGGCTTCTTAGGATCAGTGCCGTTCTGGTTACATTTGATGTATGTTTACTTGATTTCCCTAAGATTCTTTCAGAGAGGCCCCTGTAAAGACTAATTTTGATTTACAGGAACAATGATGTCATATGGGCAAAGTGGAAATAATATCAAAGAGCAGTTTGTTACCAAAACAAACAAACAAACAAAAAAGGCTGAAATCACTAGATATGTTTTGTTTGTAAAAAATTAAAGAGGGGACTTCCCTGGTGGTCCAGTGGTTAAGACCCCTCGCTTCCACTGTAGCACTGGTTTGATCCTTAATCAGGGAACTAGGATCCTGTATCCCACATGCTGAGTGGTACAGGCCAAAAAAAAAAAAAAAGTGAAAGAGATCCTAGGGACATTTTAGGGGAAATTTATTTTAAAATTAGTTTTCAGTTCTTAACACTATTAGGAATCAGTATGTCATTTCAGTAATAAAACAGTACTGGGACAGTGGTGTAACCAAACTCTGTTGAATAAATGACAACAGAAAAAAGATTAAAAGTATTCATGAGTAGCTGATATATTGCAGTTTATGAGTAACCACGTCATGCTTTCATAGCAGAGACATTTATATTTCATACTTAGAATTATGCAGATGTCTAGACAGCTTTCAGTTATTAAGCCCAGTCTTTTTCAGAACACAGACTTACAGTTGTTTTTTTGTTCTTAGGCTTGGTAAAGGCAGGATTTTTCAGAATTTGCTTCTTTGAGTATCTGAGCATCCTTCCCTCTGTTTGTCTCACCAGCTTAAGTCTTCAAAGACAGGGACTACAGCAGTGTATCTTTTAATCTAAATATTTAGGCAATCATCAGTAAATGTATTAGAGAAGTAAATCAGTCAAGTTTAAACCAATAATTATGATTATCAGTGAAATTAACTTGTTGCTGTTTTACGATGTTTTGGTTGACCTTATAAAACAAATTGGAGGGTCCTGTTTCATTCTCTGAAGAGTTTGTGTAAGATTGATAATACAGTTATAGAACTTTGTAGTTCTTCACTTATTTGGACTAACGTAGTTTTAGAACAATTCAGATTTTCTGTTTGATTTTTTATTTTTTTCTGTCAGTTTTAGTAAGTTGTATTTTGCTAGGAACTTGTCCGTTCATCTAAAATTTCAGATTAATTGACATAAAGTTGTTCCTAACAGCCTCTTAGGCTCTTTTTAATTACTATTGGGTCTTTAGTCTTTTTTTTTTTTTTTTGCTGACATTGGTAATTTTTACGTTTAAAGTACATTAATTCTCTGATGTCTTCTGGATAGTCACAAGTTTTTTAAATGGCAATAAATTCATGTCTTATTCTTATATTTCTGTATTATATGAACTAGACTATCGAGGAAAACATTCAGTAGTAATGACAAAAGTGTACAACCTTGTCTGCTTAACAGGTGTATATATATTTTTCCACTGTCATGTATGGATATGATAGTCAGACCATAAAGAAGGCTGAACACTGAAGAATTTATGCTTTAGGTCTGTGATGTTGGGGAAGACTCTTGAGAGTCCCTTGAATTGCAGGGAGATGAAATCAGTCAGTCCTAAAGGAAATCAGTCCTGAATATTCATTAGAAAGACCGATGCTGAAGCTCCAATACTTTGGCCACCTGATGTGAAGAGCCTACTCATTAGAAAAGACCCTGATGCTGGGAAAGAGTGTAGGCAGGATGAGAAAGGGGTGACAGAGGACAAGATGGCTGGATGGCATCACTGATTCAATGGACATGAGTTTGAGCAAGCTCTGGGAGATGGTGAAGGACAGGGCAGCCTGGCGTGCTGCAGTCCATGGGCACACAAAGAGTTGGACATGACTGCATGACTGAACAACAACTACAAAGTGTTCAGTTGTAT